AATATTTAATTATTTTAAATAATAATAAAAATGAAAATAAAATAGGATAATAACTAAAAAAAACTAAAAATGCTTAAATAATAATAATAATAATCTAAAAAAATAGTAATAAAAATTGAATATTATTTTTTATTTTATTTTCCCTTCTTAGATGTTGGAGGAAATAAAAATGCACTTTTAAAAATAATTTCGTCAAGATGTTGAGGAATTATTATAAAAAAAAAATAAAAAAGGTATTAATTACTAAAAAAATGGTATAAAAAGGATAATAATAATAATAATAATTTGATAATAATAATAATAAATTATCTTTTTAATAATAAATTTTCATAAAAAAAAGAGAGATTTTTTTAATTAATTTTGAAAAATGATAAAAAAAATCGAATTTGTTCTGAAAATTCGCTTAGATATTATAGATTTTTAGAGATGTTCGCGTTTTCTTTAAACCCTTAAATCCAAAACCTTAAAATTGAAACCCCTAAAATCCAAAACCTTAAATCCAAATCCCTAGAATCCAAAACCCTAAAATTCAAACCTTTAAATTCAAAACTCTAAAATCCAAACCCCAAAACTTTCGAAACCTAAACCTAAATTTTCTAAACCCTAAAATCAAAACTCCAAACTTCAAACTTTAAAACCAAAACTCAAAAATCTCCAAATCTTAAAATCAAAACCTTAAACCTTTCATACCCTAAAATTCAAGCCCTAAAATCCAAACCCCTTAAGCCAAACCCTAAAACCCTTAAAACTCAAACCAAAACCCTAAAATCCGAATCTTTAAAATCTTGAAACCCTAACTTTTAAAACCTTTACCCAATACCTTACTCAAAACCATTCCAAAACTATAAGGAAACGTGTGAAAATCTCAAGTTGAGTAATTTGTTCTCGAATGTCGCCTAGATGATGGGGGTATTTAAGAAATTTTATTCCATTAAGTTTTTCAAATGGGTCCTTAATTCGCTTTAATAATGGAGTTAATAATTGATTAATAAAAACGTATACTAATAAAATGGGATCTTAAATATAAATAGTCGCACCTAAGCTCTGCTTAGATGTTTGAGAGTCAATGTGGTCTCATTATATTTAAGAATCCATTTGTTTGTATTGCATAATATTCATTGACATACATACGTTATCATGTTATCATTAGCAATTATTTGCATTCTTTTGTCTTTAATTTTTATTTATTTATTTACCACTTGGTGATAAAATATTTTATAATAAAAAAGAATAATACATTTTTTAAAAATTTTGTGATATTATAGAATAAAATAAAATAAAAATAATATTCCCAAAGAAAATAATTCTTGATACTCTGCCTAGATGTTGGAGAGTCACCAATAATTATTTTCTGTAAATAGTGTTATTTCATTTTAAGAAATATTGTATTAAATCTCACGTGAAAAAGAATTATCTTAAATTCTACCTAGATATTTAAGAATTTTAAGATAATTCTTTAACTTAAAGATTTTTCAATATTTATAAATAAAAATTTTAGCAAAAAAAAAAATTTTTTTAAACGAAGGGAATTAATATTAAATTTTAAGTCAAAACCATTTTATTCAATACTGAAAATAGCGCATGATTAAATTGTACCGATTTATGGGCGTTGTGGGGATGCTAATCCTTCTTCACACGTAACTAACTCTCGGATTCAACCTGATTTTCGTAGACCAAAATTTATTTTGTTGATAAATTTTAAATACGCTTTTATAGTTTTATTAAAAAGATAAATTTTTTGGTAGTCAATCACATCCTAACAAAAATTGATGATGATTCTCTTTTTATTTTTTTTAATTTTAAAATACTTTATATCTGGTGGTGTCAAAATCATTACAATAATGATATAATAAATGTATATCTTAATTTATTTATAAATATAATTTTAAAATTTTATTAATTAAAAAAATAATTGTTGAAAAACACATTCAATTCGTAGCCATACAAATCCAAAATTCGACAATTGGCTGCCATCACCTGCTCGAAATGTCAATAAAATTTACCCGAAAGCTTTCCTCAACCTCTCCTAAAGATCCGTCAACTTAAATTTTTCAAAAAAAAATATTTTTTATAAAAAAATTTCTAATCTTAAAAACTTAGATCTACCGTCACCAATACTTTCGATGATTGCCAAACTTTTTTTTTGTTTTTTGCCTTCTCGCTCTTCCTTAGATTTACAAAAGTTAAGTAAAAGGGTAATTCAAGGCAACTGCTAATGAACCGAAAAACTTGTTAAAATCAGTACTTTTAGAAAACATTCATGTAATATTGAAAGAAGAATTATGTAACTTGATTCGAGTTTCCCCCACGACAGTGATGAGTGATGAGATTAGGTTAGCCACTTAGTTCGGGCAAGCCCCAAGTTGAAGGGTTTTTTATTTTTTTTAACTCCGGTTTCACCAATGACCCACGATTTGGCAAATGATCCTTTTTAGTAAATTTATTAATTTTAAATACGACTTAATTATGTAACATAAAATAATATAAAAATAATAATTTAATAATATAAATTTAACGAAAATAAAAATTTTTTTCATACTCACAAGTTAAATAAATTTTATATATAAAATAAAAATAATATAAATACATTAATTAACACATCTACTGCTTAGGATTTTAAACTGACAAAATTACAGCAAATTGATTGTTCCATGACAACTTTCCAACAAAAATTTCAAGACATTTTGTTATTATTATTATTTTAGTTATATCTTGTCCCCTTCAGGATTGCAAATGCAGAGAATAAAATCTGTTGAAAAAAAATCTGTCCTCCACTCCACAAAAGGAATAGTTTTTTTTTTTTTTTTAATCATCACCGTCACAGGTCTGAAAAATATATTTTGTCACGGTGCTTCATTTTCAACTCTTGACAGGCTCAGTTCTTCATCTTCCTTCTCGTGCTACCCCTTTCCCCCGCATCTTGCACGGAGCTGCCTGTCCGGCCCCTGCCCCGGCTCTCCTCCTGCTTCTTTCTTCCTCTTTTTTTTTTTATTATTATTTTTTATTGCTGCCTTAACTTTTCTCTTTTAATATAGTACCCAAAAGAAAATTCTAGTACTAATTTTTTTTATATTGTTTCATTTCTTCGTTTTCTTTGAAAATTTTGTATTCAACTTATATCTTACATGGAAAATATAGAGATAGTGTATTAATAATTTTGTGATTTGTTAATAAAATATTTGATTTTTAATTACAATTATCAAATTTTTTATGCAAAAAATTCATAATCAAACTTGTTAAATATATATATTAAAATAATTATATAAATCAATTCAATTAATTTTAAAATTATGATGATAAAAATTTTATTTATAATAAATTCAAATATAAAAAACAATAACGTCAAATACATATTCACATGTATTCATTTAATTTTTTTTTTGCCTAAAAATATTTCACTATTATTTTTTGTCATTTGCTAACATGCACCATTTAATTGGGTATAAGTTAGCATGATAAGTTCCAAAAAAAGCTAAGTGTAGCGGTCGTAAAAAAATTAGTGAGAAGAACAGTGTGATGTTGAGAAATGCAAAACGTCGTTTTGTATCTGTCTTATGAATGTATATTTAATTATTAAAATCTTGCTTTGAGATCAAACTTTGAAAAAATTTTTGCATTTGCTAGGTTACCGGGGACTGCTACAAAGTTGATGCAAAAAAACAACAAAACCCAAATTGAATTACATTTCATTTACTACAATGAACAAAGATTGTTTTAATTTGGTGAACAAATAATTCCTGTCACAGTTTCATTAATCAACCTTTTCATTAATCAAAGTGATTAAGCAACTTTCATTAAATATCTTTAACAATTTGTTTGCAACTTTCTTTGTGAAGAAGAATATAAAATAAAAAAACAAAGTTAGGGCAAATTTTTTCTTGTTAAATTTGATAATTCATGTATTTATATCATATTTATTTTTATATAAATATATATTTTTTATTTTGTTAAATTTATATATATTTTTTAAAATTATAAACTATACCATTTTCATTTTTTTGGTAAAATTGTTAAAAAGTATTTGAAAAAAAAAATAATAATTATTTAAATCTTTTATAATTTTTTATAATTAATCAAATTTTGATTTTTTTATTTCTAATTAGTTGAACTCTTAAGTATTTATTTTTATCTAATTAAACCCTTAAATATTTATTTTTATTTCAATTGAACTCTCGAATAGAGAAAAATTAGTATTAATCAATTTTTGTTTACTTGATCGATAAAAATAGATATTTGAGAGATCAATCGATTGCAATAAAATATAAAAATATAAAAAATTTTTTTAATTTTTTTTAAATTATCAAGTGTACTTTTTATCTTTAAATTCATGGTAACTATATCATATTTCAAAATCCATACTTTATCTATATTTAGAAAACAAAATATGTGTATATTTTGTCTTAGGTCATATTTGATATATATAATTATTGATAAAATAAAATGTTAATTATTTTTTATTATATTTAATTTGTATCTAAAGAATGTGATAAGGATTACAAGAAACGTTAATACATTCTTGTTATAAGATTATTCAATTCTTTTCAAATAAAGAAAATTATTTTTTATTCATGAGATTAAATTTATATATCTAATTATATCCTTAAAAATAATATAAATAATTTAAATTATATAAATTTTGAAAAATAATAATTTAAAAAAATAAATAAAATTATCTTATCTTAATCCTTATATACATCAAATATAATATTATTTAATTTAATCATATTCATAATATCATTTTATCTTATCATACAATAATTATATACCAAATATGATCATAATTAACTAAATTCTAAATAAAAATGTTAAATTGATGCTGTAATATTTTTCCCTTACAAAAACAAATATATTGCTTAAATTCAAAAAGGAAATTTTATGATCGAGTTTTATTCTGTTTCCTTTTGCCATGGTAAAGAAGAATTTAGAAAAAAAAAAGAAAAAAGAAAAAAAATTATAATACTAAGTAAAGCAGGTGTAGAAAGGCCAAAGGAGTTTCTTTTTCTGCTTCATAAAAAAACCAGCTCTCCCCAGAGCCTAACCAGACTGCTTCTTTGATCCCTCTCTCTTCTCACATTAGCCTTCTGCTACTTCTTCATCTTCTTCTTCATTTTGCTTGTTGTATATATTTAAGAAAAGAAGCTCTCCAAAGTTTTAAACTTTGATGTCTACACCTTTAGAACATGATTACATAGGATTAACAGAGTCTTCTTCTATGGAAAGAAGCTCTGAGAAGATATCTTCTTCTTCTTCCTCCTCTTTTAGTCACTCCATTGAAGAAAAAACTAGAAAAACTATCAATAATACTTCTCTCAATCTCAAAGAAACTGAGCTGAGGCTTGGTTTACCAGGTTCTCAGTTTCCTGAGAGAAAAGTCTCTCTTTTTGGCAAAGATTTGGAGAGTAATGATAAAAGTAATGGTTTTTCTGTTAGCCCTTTGAAGAACTTGGTGTCTGGAGCTAAAAGGGGTTTCTCACATGCCATCAATGGGTCTAATGGAAAATGGGTCCCTATGAATGGTAAATCTGATGTTGAGTTGGCTAAAGGTGCTACCTTCACCTCTCCTAGAAGTGGCTTGGAGAGCAAGAGCAATTCCCAGCAAGTAAGGGTATCTGTACCTGCCATGAAAGAGGTTGGTGGTACTGTTACCCAGTCTCCAAAGCAAGTTCAAGATAAGCAGAATCTTGTTCCTCCTGCAAACGAGCATGCTTGTGCTCCTGTTGCAAAGTATGTTTAACTTCAAACTTCTTTTTTTTTTTTTTTGGCTTCTTTACATTTGTTGAGATGGTTTTGATTTTCTATTATCTGCTTTATCTGTTGTGTTCCTTAACGATAGATTTTAGCCATTGTAGCTTAAAAACGTTTTCTTTATGCTGTTGATGGCACCACAATTTTTTAGACAATGTCAAGCTTGCATCTGATTGTCCATATTTAAATCCTATTCTCTTTCATTTGGCAGTTTGTCTGAAAAGTCCATGAAGCAGAGGGCCTTTTTCTTAGAGTTTTCGAGCTCTGCATCCTTCTAAATTTCATCGCTTATTTCTCTAATTGTTGGGAATTTGGATCTCTTTGGCCTATTTTTACTTGTATAACAGCAGGTTAGTGTATAATTTTACATCAATTATTGAGCAAGATTTCTTTAACAGGGCACAGGTTGTAGGATGGCCACCAATTCGTTCATTCCGGAAGAATACCATGGCCTCTAATTTGGTAAAGAACAGCGATGACGCTGCCGGTTGCCTCTATGTAAAGGTGAGCATGGATGGAGCACCATACCTGAGGAAGGTTGACCTCAAGACCTTCAAAAACTATATGGAACTGTCATCAGCTTTGGAGAAGATGTTCAGCTGTTTTACAATTGGTATACTTGGCCTATCTCTCACACATACATAGCTCTACTCTATCCAATTATCCAATTCACATTATAAATGTGGGATCCATCCGGACCTTACACAATTCTAAATTATGATTGGTTAATTGTAGTACAATGATTTTAAGTGATATGCCTCCGTATTAACTGTGTGTATGGATGACTGTGATTCAGGGCAGTGCAGTTCCCATGGGCTACCCATGCGAGATGGTATCAGTGAGAGTCGTTTGATGGACCTTATCCACGGATCAGAGTACATGATGACATATGAAGACAAAGACGGTGATTGGATGCTTGTCGGCGATGTTCCATGGGAGTAAGTGCTTTTCCTCCTGGATAACACTTTATATATTCTTTTCAAAATCTTGATAATTCTTGGTGGGGTGTGGTTTTTATGCTAAACCGTGTAATTTGCAAAGCGTCAAGGCAATAGACTTAAATTATCAACAGTCGTTTCCTGTTTATGATCGTTAAGAGTTAATATCAATGTTGATTGGAAAGATCCAGAGGCAATGAAAATTAAAAAATGGCCTCGGCATTGTTACGCGACTTGACATTGCAATGTATCACTTTTTATAAAATAAAGCCTAATTGATTTATGTTCCTGCAATCTGATCTCTTGCAACTGTTTATCATCTTACTGTATTTATTCATTATGATGATAGGTTCCCTTATCTTGTTATCTTTGTTACTCAGGATGTTCACTGATTCGTGTATGAGAATAAGGATAATGAAAGGTTCAGAGGCAATTGGACTAGGTATTCGGTATTCCCTTATTAAATAAAATTCATCATAGTTTGGCATTCTTTTCCTTAATCATCAGTCCAACTTTAACATCTTTGAGCAGAAATGCCAACTATTCGATTACATTCTCTTTTTTTTTTTTCCCCCAATTTTAGTTAAAATTTATAGGCAAAGAGTTATCTTGCTTTAAATTTTGTGCACGTATTTTATTTCCTTGAGTGTTATATTCAAATCATCCTGATATTTGAGTGAGTCCATTTGACTGCTTGCAGCTCCAAGGGCCATGGTGAAATGCAAGAACCAGAATTAATGCAAAAGCATCTTGAAGACCAAAAAGAAAGGAAGCCTTCAGAACTCCAGAATTTTAAGGATGATCAGTAGAGCACTTTACTCAAGAATTATATATATGTTTTCAGATATCATAAGGTTGATGTATTTAGTGGAATTTAGAGGAAAAAAAAAAGCTTCTATCGGACGGATGATGGCATTGGAGACATATCCAATTATTTAAGGTTGTCTGGTTTACATGTCTTCTTTTATCTTTTTCTCCGTTTGTGTATTTTCTATACTGTGTAAATGGATGATTCCTCGCAGATTGCCAATCTGTTTCTCTTTCTAATCAATCAGACAAAAAATAGAAAAGCAAAAAAAAAAAAAAAAAAAAAAAACCATTGATTAGTTGCCCTTAATCCCGTCATTTCAAACTATGCATTCTGATTAGAACAAACGCAGAAGTGTACCCTGTTTGAGATATTTTCTTTATGGATTACTGATTAGTCAGGAACTTGCTTGATTGTTTCATGCTACTTTGGCACTATTTCTTCATAATTAGGGTTATAACACGAATCAGCGGATTTTTGCTTCTATAAATACATGAATTAATGGTATCTTTTGGGCAGAATTCAAGTTCGAAGCATGGAAGCAATTTTTGAAGCAGGAGATGCTCTCTCTGTGTGGACCAACTCTGAGATACTAACTGTTGTCATTGGACCACAAATTTATTGAAGCTGATCAGCTCTTAACTGTAATTTTTATAAATGAACAATAAAAGATACTCTGTTTTACATAAAAAAAATTAATTAAGTTAGTGAATTCAAGTAAATCAACAAAATTAATTCACCGAGCCCAGCTTTTCCAAATGAAGATCACTATATTGTTTTTTTGGATAGGAAGTGGAAAACATTGACGGTCACATCAGTAAATTACATTGGAAAGACATCATAGGGTATGATCCTAAAAATTGGATATAACGTTTTTTAAATTAACTAGAAAACAATCTGAACTTGCTATGAGGAAATGAAAAATATTGACACAAGTTTCATCCAGTGAAGTTAAACCAGATCTGATCATGGATGATTTCACGATTCTGGTTTGGAAATTTGCAGATACACCATCTGCGTATATCCATTAAATACAGATCTCTCAAGCCTGCCTAAACCAAGCCGCTGAAACAAGCCATACCTGCCATCTTCGACAATAGGAGTAGGTGCACGAGCAGGATCATAACGAATTTGGTGGGTGAGGGATGGACCAGCCGCGGGTGGCAGCTCCCAATAAACATCAAGAATTGATTCAACAAACCTGCTATTTTGAAAATGTTCATTGTAAGAGATGGCAGTCTTATTGTGGTTAAAGTTATCCCGCATCTCCCCTCTAACACCCCACCATGCTTCTTGTGGCCCACAAAGTTCATCTATATCCACAGCCTTCTCCCAGAATTTCTTTCTTTTTGATCTAATCCTGGCTTCATCACTATCCCTAAAGCAGCTATGGCCACCTCCTGAATGAACAAAGCTCACAATTAGGTAAAGAAACGAAAACAGCCTCAGAAAAGAAAGATTCAAACATACCATAGTTTATATTAAAATTTATGCATAAACTATCATTGCACTTAGTAAACTACATAAGGAACTCAAAATCGAGTTTTAAAGAGAAATACCAAGACCCACAAAATGATAGAATTCCTCAAGATACAACCTGAAATCTTTTCTTTGTTGTAGCAAGAGATCATATTCATAAATAATTTACCCCTTAACTATCATCTAACTGCAAGCAACAACAAAATAAAATAATATACAAAGCTACCGATAGAAATAAAGCCATATGAGAAAAACCAGAATATGAGGTCTTGTTACTCTTAAAAGAGTAATCATAACTTTTAAGACCCCAGTCTCTTTAACTTATGAACTGATATAAGGAAAACTTCATTTTAGCTTTATTGAAGTATAACTAATCTTATTTTCAGTTTACATATGTTTTGACTGGGATGGATTCAATAGTGATAAACTTGCAGAAAAGCAAATTAGAACCAATCAAGAGATAACAGCCTCACTACAGCATTGAACCCTCTAGTCTGGTCTGGCAATGAATGATAATTCACTGCATAGTTAGAACTCACAATGCAATTGTTGGTTAAGCAGCAGTTTGAAGAATGAGAAGAAGAACAAAAAGGACTTGCATTAGAAATGCTTGCACATTTAGGAGGAGAAGCGATAATAACAAAGGCCAAAATCAGGGAAAGCCATTCAATTATTTAATCGCGTGACAAAGACAATGATGACACATTCTAAAGATTTATATGATTTATGGAGAAAATAGGTATTCAAACTCATAGAATTCCTAATCAGATATCCACTGATGATCTTACTGAAGGCATGGCAAATAAGGGGAGCACAAGAAAGAAAATCATGGATATAAATTACAGACAAAATGACAGAAGATAAAAGTGGATATGGGCCAAAGTGTAGCAAATGAGAGGATACTCAGAAACTGAGAAAGGAAAAAAAGGAAAAAAAAGTTGTGGGAGCATCTACCTCTTATGTAGAACTGGTCACATATCTGTCTCAATCAATAATGATCTCCCGTCCCCGTATCATAATTGTCTTCAAAAACTAGATGGTGAAAGCCAGCTTTCAATGCCTGCTTTAGCCTGTTCATGAAAGCACATCCCAACAATAAGCACAATAAACTCAAAACCATAAAGGAAAAAACCGAGACATTAAGTAGCCTTAAACAAGCACAAGTAAAATCTAAAACTTATTAAAGGAGAAGATCACCAATACTTAGATGCATTAAGTACCTTTTCAATTCATTTTGATGGTCATCAAAGAAGACAAGAACCTGATTAAAATCAGAAATTCCATGTTTCTTCAGCACCCTCTTCCAATCAACACTTCCATAATCCACAAAATCTTTTCCAGCAAAGTATGTGCAAATTCCATCAACATAAGCAGGCCCTTTTTTCAAGTACTTCTCAGGATGCCGGGGTGTGAGTGAGATAATTGGTGCATCAGGCATTGCTTGCCGCAGAACCCAAGTGGAATGCCCCTTGAACGCACCACTCTCAATCATTATATCTGGTTTTAGCCACCGGGCAATGAACCAGAGCCCAAAGCTGTGGTCAAAACCCATCCCATGCATGTTGTTTTTGATTGGACGCGTTTCATATATTGGTACAAACTCCTCCAGGCCCTTGATTAAATCCTTGGATGTCCATTCAACTGTTTTTCCATGTTTCGATCTGCCTTTTGCCAAGGATATGAATTAAATGGGTGCAAACCATGAGAGTTATGATTTAAGACTTTAGCATGAAAAATAAATAAGTAAATAAAAAATCCAATCAAGTATGATATTCAACAAATAAGTCAATTTTTAACATCATAAACTTCCACAAAAACAAGCAAAGAACCATAATGTAGTTTGTAACAACAAGAGGTGAAATATTGATAAAATGCAAATGGCCTAAGGATGTCAATGGGTAGGGTATGAGGAGGATAGAGCATTTCCCAACCCATCTCTAGATTTTTCTATTATACCCATCCCTGTACTCATACCCAACAAGTATTTTAAATTTATTCCCACCCTCATCCCTGCGGATATTTAATGCGTATGGGTAATCCCCATACCCATAGCTTTTTAAAAAAATAAAAACCAAAATTTATTTTTTTAGCTTTTTTAATTTTTATCTTATATTTTAAAGTAATTTTTTATAAATATATATTAATATATATTTTTCAATAAAAATATATTAATTCTAATTAATCTAAAATAATAATTTATATTCTTTAATAAAAAATTTATTTACTAAATATATATAAGTATATATGTAGGATATGGGTATGGGTACAAGGCAGGTGTTATATTTCCTGTTCCCATCCCAATATACCCAATAAAAATTTAAAATCATACTCATCTCCATCTCTATAAACACAATATAATACCCATCTCCATTTGGGTAAAAAGTCGGATTCTCCATTGGGTATGGGTAAGATTGACATCTCTAAATCGACCTTGATTTGACATGAACAATAGAAACTCATACTGTATAACAATTGACCAGGAGGAAATCTAAGATTAGTTATTGACAAGCGCCACCGAACAAGAATCAATAAAGAAGGTTGAACATGGAACCACAGCTTCCTATTAACTAAATAAAGATTTAAGAGCCAATTAGGCAAATTTCAAAGTGATTGTTGCATGACTAATTATTTAGGAAAACACCCAACATTTCTATTTAAGTTCTAATAAATGCATCAAAAATCGAAGATCTAATAGCACGTTCAAATTATTTAGTTATCTAATTGCACTCGAAAAGAATAGTTCCAATATTCTAATCACTTTGACAAACAAATAAACGTTTGATCTAATCACCAATTAGGGTTCTAATAATCAAGAGAAAATAGTGACAGCATAGCTTAATAATGAAAGAATGAAGCAAAGCAAGTAAATTTATCATAAATGTGCAACGAAACGGCGCCGCATCATGAAAATGAAGGAAAATAAAAATAAAGAAATAAAGAAAGTGGCGGATCCGATCGAGAACCCCAAAAAATCATAAAACAAAACTTACACCAGGAACGCCGAGGGATCCGAAATCAGAGTCCAGCCCATCGAGACCGAATAAACTGGAACGAGAAGTCGGGTCATAAGACGAAACGCAAACGAAGGAGCGAGAGTTGAGCATCAAAGAGAAAAGCATGAAAGCGCTCAAAAGAAGGCAGAGAGAGAGGCAAAGACACGGCGACTTGACGAGTCCCAAGGGAGAAATATAATTGTTGGCCAAGAGATAGAGTCGTGGTTTCTTGGTTTTGGACTCGTCAGCGAGTAAGTTGTCGGATTCCGTATCGGAAGAGACGGCGGAGGACGCGCTCGTGGAGGGGAAGTCGAAGTCGGAGTGGGGCTGAGAGCGGCGGGAGGAGACGGCTCGGTCCAGCATTTTGGTTGGGGTTTTGGGAGAGTGAGAGTGGGGATCGAAGTGCCGCGTACTCACATTTGGGAAGTAAAAAAAACTGCTAATCTGGACGTCGTGGGGCTATCTCCCCGTCATTTAGCATTTAATAAACTTTTTTATTAATATCAATTTTCATTAATCAAAAAGCTTTTCAACAGTCGAACGCTTATTTTATTTGGTTAATATGATATTTTTTAGAATTAACATCTAATAAAAAGAAAATTCAAATCTCATCAAGAAATTAAAAGTTCAAATCCCATCTATAATTTTTTGAGGCGTTTGATTTAGAGAAAAGCTAAATTTTCTCTCAAAATCTTGTTTTTTGTAATTTAATTCTCAGGTTTTATTCATAGCATCTCATTCTTGATAATATTTTAAAATTTTCAATAGTATCCAAATATTTTAGAGTAGAAAACTTACTTTTTTTTGTAATTTTTAAAAATTCTGAAATAAAATTTAGTTTTGTCTCACATTTAATTTCAATAATAATTTTTTTTTATCTATTTTATCTTTAAAAATCAACATAATTATTTAATAAATTGAGATCCGTTCTAATACAAAAATGGACATTCATGGTTATACAATTGAGTAAAGGTGCAATCTTAGCAATAAGATTGAACATCTTGCGCACCATTAAATACGTAATATATTAGATATAAAAATATAATTTTTTAAAAAAACAAACGTAATAGATGTTATAAAATTTATATTTTTGAATTTTTTATTTTAAAAAGTATTTATTTTTTTATATATGAAACAAAATAAATCAATTAAAATAATAATAAAATAAAATATATATTTTTATATAAAGGATGTTTATTATATTATAAATGTATTAATTGATACTTTTAATTATGTTTCTAACAAAAAAAATGTAATATTTGCTAACAAATACTTAGTTTCTTTAATAAGAAACGTAATATTTAAATGTCATGTTACAATAAAAACGTTGGAGAGACAAATTTACTTGTATTAGACAATGACATGATAGTTTACATGATAATTTATTTTTATTAAATGACAGTTTATTTTTACTAGATAATGACATGAATTTATTTTTAATAAAAAAATATGTTTTAATTTTAGAAACATAATTTTTATTTTTCAATTACAGAACACGTATCTACTTTCATAAATTTTATCTTTGAAAATTTTTTTTATTCAAAGATTACATTTATACTTTTAAAAATATAATTTTTGTAAAATTTATTTATTTTAATTAATGATTACGTTTCAAATTTCATGAATATAATCTTTGTAAGTTTTTTAAAAAATAAAAAACTAAGATCTTAATTTTTATATATATTTTTTGTTCGTAATAAATTAATTTTTAATATTATAAAAATAAAAAAAATTTTATTTTAATTTTTTAATAATTATCATATATTTAATTTTAATAATATAATAGTGAGTTAAAATGTTTATCATGTGCTATTTATATGTAATAAAAATCATTATAATCAAAAAAGTTTATTATGTAAATTTTTTTTTTTTCGAACCAACACAAAGATCTAACATTCTTATAATATAAAAAATTAACCCTTGCAGATAATTCACACTTCTTTGAAAATTACTTTTTTTTAAAAAATATATTATTTCTTGAATTAAATGCTTCTTTATTATTAACTTCAATATATATAAAAAATTTACCGTCAATCATGTTTTTATATATAATAATAAAATATAAATATTGATGTAAATATAGATTAGATTATAAGTTTCAAATGCATAAATATATAATTATAATATAGATATATTTATCATATATAGATATAGAAGATAGAAGTTGATAAAAAAAAACTAAAAAAAAAAAACCTATGAGTTTTTTTTTTCTTTTTTTTTTCAGATTTTTTCCTGTATATTTTCCATTAACACCTTTTTTACCAAAAAAAGAAAAGAAATCACACGTGTGGAACAGAAAAAGCAAAGGATAAAAAAAGGAAAAATCCAACTTGTTTAAGTTCAGAGTAAGAAGTAGAAAAATACGAATGTTAGCTTGCAGGTCTCCCTTCAGGTACGCTTCTTTTACATAATCCTCTGTTTGGTTACTGAGAAACTAATAGAAACTATGAATAAAAGAAAAATAAAACTTTGCAAAACAAGAAATAAAACCCTTTCTTCAAACACGAAAAAGGAGGTAACTTTCACAGTGAAGTTGTTTATATTAGGTTTCTTTTCAAAATAAAATTAAAAAATGGAATTGGGTTTTTCATCTTGCAAAGGTTGGATTGAAATCTTACACTTTTCTTTTATTTCAATTAAAGCAGTTTTATGTTTTAGTCTATTGGGCATTGTAATTAGGTTTAAACGATTTAAGGGAAACATCAATGAACTAAACGATGCGTTTTTTTTTTTTTTGAAATAATATGTCAATTTTAGTGTTATTATCTCTGCAGAGTTGATCGTTTGTTGAATTTCACAAATGCTTTGTCAAACCGAAGCCGGTTAGTTACTTTCAGGTTCTGATCTTAAAGAATTTGTTTTAAAATTACCATGATTTCAAATATATTTTTTTCCCTTTAAGCATTGGTTTTTAAATTGTTGTAACATTTATGTGAAGAAGTGCAATCAACTTAAGTGAGACACCTTATTGGGCAAGCGTTTAAACTGAATACTACCCTTTTGATTTTTCTACATTGCCAGTATGTTTACTTCAGCTGGTGTAATTTATTATGATGGTTTGCCTTTGTGGTTTCATTTGTATAGGCGTCTTTTGAGAGAAAACAAAACAGTTTGTGCTTTTTTTAAAGTAACAATAAAGTAACGAAGAAACTTTATGTTATATTTCTTATATTTTCTAAGATTTAAACAGTGTCAGGAGCCTAGATGGAGTGTTCATTCAAAATAATGACTTTGGGAGTTCATCCAGTTCTTTGACATTTTAGGTTGGTCTTTGGTGTTCTATCTGTTAAAGATTATGAAGTCATTTACAGTGTTGAAAGAAATATTAAGCTTTTGGTTTACCGAGAAAGTCTATGCTTGGTCATTGGGTTGAAACTTGAAAGTACTTATAGGGACCATATAGGGCCCTATTGAATTTGAAAAAGTAAACAATTTTAAACATATGATACTGATTTTTTTTCCTGAAATTAATGATCTAATTTGCATTATGCCATTGTGGTTTTCTAATGCTATAGAATAAGAAAATGGTATCTGGATATATTCTTTTCTTTCACCCTAAATGTTGCTAAATTTGAATAGTCATAGACCAGAGATTTGCTAGAGGTGGAGAGAAATGAAATTTTACAAAGTTGTGATCAGGTTCATTAATTTAATACCAACTCATTTTCAGGGTTGCTGTTCTTATCATAGTTTGAGCCTTGATTTGAGGATAAGTGGCGCAAAAGATAAGCCGGGTGCCATGGACAAGAAGAAAGGAAAGATAGGTACTCCTGTATGGAGGCCAGTATGTACTCAAGCTAGTTCTGTTGATGGTATGTTTTGTTTGTGAAACTACATAATGTTCTTCTCTTTCATCTTCTTTTTTGGAAGAAGGCCTTCCTATTTTCTCAATATGACTTAAGGTTAGGCTTTAATCTTCTTCCATGGTTCTTTTTCAATGATGTAATCATGCTTTTGTTTGTTGGCTTGAATAACATTATAAAATATTTCTAATGCTTCAGTTGAGGTAAATTTCAAATCACTTTCCTGATTTAATAAAGATTTAAAAACTTTCACCTTTTTTGCTACTTGGATTGCTGCATATAGTTTTTACAATCTAAGTATCTAACAATTGGGAGCATTATACTAGTTTGCAGTAGATTGGCTTGATAGTTGGGTCTTTTGTTGGTGCAAGTCATATTTTATGTTGCCTGTGAAGTCTTTTATGTTAATTTGCAGAGCCTGTGATAAAGGATGTAATGTTTGAGTCAGAAACTGGATGTCAAATGCAAGAAGTGAATGAGGCGGTGGCTGAAGTTACAGATGCAACTGTCAGTTCTAAGGCCTTGGAGGATGATATTGAAGCATTAAAAGATGAGCCAGTGCTTTCAGCTGCAAAGCACTCACTTTCAGTTGAGGTAAATTTTAATTGTTGATCCTATGAACATTTCTCTTTCCTTTCTGTTACATGTTGCTGTTGATGAGCTTTGTTGTGGAATGGACTTTAACTATAAGAGCTCAACAAAAAGAAAAAGGGGGCGTAGGTAGGACAGTTTAGCTAGAATTCATCACTTTCCCAGCTGAATTGCTATAGATTTTGGCACTGGATGAAATGATTCTACAGTAGGACTTTCTTTTAGGAATGATGCAAAACAGGCTACTACAGCTTCTTTTATTCTATCTATGGTGCCCACTTCAGCTTTCTCTTCACACATGATGTTGGTATCTACTCTAGCATTTGACATTTCCTTCCATAGAAGCTTCAATTTCCTGTTTGTTTTTTGTGCTTGATATGCAGGTTGGTGCATCTGTAATTCGATTTTTTATAGGAAAAAGGTATGAAGCTCAGCATCTAAACATCTCAAATCTTTAGTTTCATTTTTATTTTTTTAATTTTATTATATCCTATGCAGAGGATCTACAAAGGAAAAGATTGAAAAGGAGACAGGGGTTCAGATTATTCTTCCATCATCTAAGCAGGAAGATTCTATTAGTAAGATTTTTTTATCCTCTAGAAACTTTTTTTGGTTGCATTCATGGAATGTTGTGTATCACCGATGTCATACTTATCTAGTATTGAAGAATTTAGTCATTTTATGATGTTGGTGCAAAAAAACTATTCTTGAACCTTCACCTAACAGCTTGGTCCAGAATTCAAATCAACACTATTCTGTTGAAAACTATATTCAGAATATGGCATGTGGTGGGCCGGTGTGTCATCCACACTTTCAGCCCAATAGTCTTGTCTATGGGGGAGTGGGGTTGTTGTTGAATAAAAATTATTCTTAAACCCTCAGCTACAGCTTAAGACGATAGGTTGAATGGTTCTTAACATATGAAATATGTGAACAATGAAATTAATTTCAGTGGTTTATTTGCCCTGAATAGTTATTGCTTGCAGTCATTGAAGGCACTTCAGCTGATGGTGTAACTAAAGCTTCAAAAGAGATACAACGTATAATTGATGAGGTTAGTCATCTGCTTTCCTCTTTTTTTATAATGCTATTGTTAAAATATTTGATCAGAATGCATGAGAAATGTTTCTGATGATTAATATATTGTTTATGAATTCTTGTTCACACAATGACTCTTGGTCAAGAAAAATATAGTGTTGTTAATGAAATATTGGTTGAATTTCAAATAGAGTTTAAATGGGGTCATCGTATGTAGAAGCAGGAAAAGAAAGACTTGTCATGGCATGAATTCTTATTTAACTAGCCTACATGAGCTAAAAGTTTTCCATTTTTCTATTTCTGTTTCCTATCTTTGTTTTAGTTGTTTTATAAAGTTTTTATTTATTTATTTTGGGTCCTGTTTTAATAGTTGTTTTGTTTTTTATTTGTATTGTCTACTTTTCAATTCCATTCTCTTTTTTAACTGTGTTTGTTGAATGTACTCTTTTTTCCCCCACATTTTCCCTTTGATCTGCTTTTAAAATTCTTGAATTACCTTTTTCCCTCTTTGGATTTTCACTTATCTGTTTTCCATTTTTTTTTTTTTTTGGGTTGGGGGGGGGGGGTGGGCGTGGGGTGGGGTTGGTTTCCATATTACAGGCAGTTAAGACTCCAAGTTTTGATTACTCTCACTTTGTATCTCTTCCATTGGCTATACATCCTGAGTTGGTTGGCAAGCTTGTCAACTTTCAGAACTCCATATTGGGAATTAGTGACGCTTGTGTAGATGACAATCTGGAAGGCAACTCAGATGGAGATCTGTCTGAAGATGATGCTCAGGAGCAGCAGTTAGGTAAAGGATCTGACATTGCAGTTGAACTTAAAGTTGCTGATGACAAGAAAAGTGTTAAGGTGGATGTAAATGGCATACCTCTTGTTAGTTATGCACCTAAAGACCCTGAAGAATCAAAGTCTTCTAATTTATCAGGCAAGTGAACTATCTGGTTCTTTATCTGGTTCTTTGTTGCTTTGCTTGCTTTTAAAACTTTCAATTTAGAGATCTCAGAATTCTATATGTGTAGCTTGATATACTTGCATATAGGCACACACATGGAGACACATAAATACTTATTTTCCCTTTTTTCCAAAATTTAAGTTAACCCTTCCTTTTTGGTCATTCCAAGTATTTGCACAGATTTAAGACTTCAAATGTTGAATGCTTGTCACTTTACAAAATTTCCTGGACTCTAAAAGTTTCCCCATTTGCAAAGTTTTTCATGTTTGGGTAAGCTTGGGAATCGTTGCATTTTGTGTTGAGTGTGACTAAATAATCTCCCTCTGCAAAAGGAATCCCCAAGACTTTAGGGGTTGTAAACCACATTCACTGAATAACATTCTGCTTTCGGGTTTTCACATGCAACTGCTAAAAGTATTGTTTTTTTATTAAGTTACAATGCCATGTCATGTAATTACGAGGTGTAAAGGGTATTAATCTTTTATTGAATCCTATCATGTAGTTAAATTACACAGCTATTATGTGTCCCACCTTTGAAAGTGTATTATCATCTGATAGCTTCTTTTGAATTTGCTGATGCTCCTTTGCTTGTATTTCTTTTTTTCAAATAAAAACTCTTCTCTTTCTTACCATTTTTCTCTTCCTTTTGCTTTAACAAACCTTGCTTATGTATGTTGCACTTGACAGACTTGAGAATTGAGAAGTCCATATTTATTAAACCTGAAACATTTCACTTGACGGTGCTCATGTTGAAGTTGTGGAACAAAGAACGAGTTAATTTAGCAGCTGAAGTATTGCATGTAAATTCTCTTGAATCATATCATCAGTTGGCTGTTGGCTGGTTCTGGCACTGCTTAATGTATAATGTTTTGTTTTTCCACCCAGAGTATCTCCTCAAAAGTGATGGATGCATTGGATAATCGACCTCTGTTTGTAAGACTTAAGGGTCTGGTAAGTTTATCGTAGCCCAGATGTTCTGACACTGGCTTACTTAATATGTGGTTTTAACTTGTGAATGGGGTTCCGCTGCAAATGCTAATACTGTTCTAGCCATTATTCTGCTAGGTCGGAGAGCATTGACTCTTTCATAAATTTCCTTTAATGTAGTGAAAAGCATGATTGGGTTTAATTAATTGCACACAATTTGTTGAAGTTATTATCTAACCTCTGAGAGTAACAAATCGGGCTTGGCTTTGTGGTTGTCGCTTGGATAGAGGGTTGAGGTTCAAGGTTCAACTCCTCAGCATTTGTTAGAGAGAGAGAGAGAGAGAGAGAGAGAGTGAGATGCAGCAAATGGAATGTTTGGTTGCAAAGTTTTCAACAAGCTAATCGGGTCTTCCGCATTTTTCACTTTTGTTAGTGCTGGGCTCTAGTTTATGGTCTTTTCTTCAACTTGGTTAACTAATTACAAATAGTTTTAATGAGATTAGACTGGGGGATGGAGGGGGCTGCTTTCATTTATTTTGCATTATGTTTAGGGTCATTGTAAAAGACACACGTGTGCACACACTTCTTGAGGTTCCAATCTCTGTCCATGCAGGATTTAATGAAAGGCTCTTTGACCAAAGCCCGAGTCATCTATGCTCCTGTGGAAGAAATAGGCAGTGAAAATCGACTTTTACGAGCCTGTCGTATCCTATTTTCCTAGTTCATAGTATAAATTTTTTCTTTTGTTTTTGCACTTGAAAATAGAATATGGTCCCTGCTTTTGTTGAGCTTAAAGTTTTTTCTGTTGTGTGAATATTCTCTTTTGAATTCCTTAACATTACTTAGAAGTTATTACCGATGCTTTTGTGGAGGCTGGGCTTGTTATGGACAAAGATGCTAAACATGAATTAAAGGTAAGACTTTTGATCTTCTGTGTTTTGTTCTTTTGTCCTCCACTGTTAAATTTTTGTTTCAACTTATTCACCCTCGTTGCCCCTTTACAAAGTCTGTATTTTTCAATGATGCTTATTCTCGGAACAAAGTATGGCCTATTTGTTTGTTGTAATCCATCGGTTAAACAGATTTGACTCTTACCTTTAAACCTAGAGTTAACATCTCTACGCTCTCTTCATTTCCTTCTACATTTTCGCTTGAGGCTTATTTACTTGGGCTCCATTTGGATGTGTGATAAGATTGGCTCCAGTGAGATTAAAAATAGTGGTGGAGGTGAGATTTGTTACTATAGCAGTGAGATTAAAATAAATAATGAAATGTGTTTAGATGCAAAAATAGCGGTAGCAATGAAATGAAAAAAATGACTATTAAAGACATTAAACTAAAAGTTGTATATGATAAAAATTTTAAATTAATTGACATTTATAAAATTTATTTATTATATAAAATTATTTATTAGTATTAAATAATAATTTTTTTTTATATATTGGTATAATAATCAAACTTAAAGGATAAAACCAGAAAAGTAAAAAAACCTCACTAGGTCACCAACTGAACCAAAAATGGCCAGTTAATGGCTGACCAATTTTTAAATGCACCATGCTTCCATTTGGCTGCAAAAGCTGGTATTTGCATTGCAATCTCACCACCACTGAGGGTGAGATGCAATCCAAACAGACTCTTGGATCATCTGTAAAAGTGAGGAAACTAGCAAATATATTTAATTACACCTATGTACGGTAAAGCCTAAGATATGAATGAATAGAAATTGGATTTGTCATGTGGCCTTGGTATATGTAACGTACTTCACTCTAGAAAAGCTCCTGCAGAATGTACCTAGTTAAAAGGTGCATATCACCATGGATGGACCTCAGGAAAGCTGCAAACCAGTATTCTCAAACTCTTCCAACATGGCGGGGACCATAGCATCTCATCTATACCCCTCCTCCATACCCTCGAAGTTAGTAAATGGCTACTTTATGGTTCTAGTTGACATGCCTTTCTGATGGTTTTCCCTCAAGCAAGGATCCTCTAAATCATAAAGAGCAATGTTTTCTTTCAACTGTGAGTGACAATTTATCCTCAAAAGCATAACCTTCCATTGCAATATTTCTGCTTCCATTTCCTCTAACCCCCCCCCCCCCCCCCCAAAAAAAAAAAAGAGGAAAATCCTTGACCATTCAGCAGTATGTAAAGCTTGAGACTCGTAAGTAAAAGACCGACGGACAACTGGTTGCCTGCAAACCTATTTAGACTATTGTGATGGAAGGAAATAAGAGGAAAAGCGGAAAGAATCATATCCAGAACTAGATATTCTTTTGGGCCTGATGTGAAGCATTTTAGATGTTCTTTTAGTTCATTTTCATCTTTCCTTTTGGTCTCAAGAATATTGATGGTATCTTCTGTTGTTAAATTTCAGTTGCATGCCACCGTGATGAACGTAAGGCATAGGGAAAGGTGCCACCTATTTCCTTATTTGTCTTTTATTTTATTTTTTCTAAATTCTGGAGCTGTACAACCTTCATGTGTTGCTCCTTCCCTGTGATTGTTTTCTTTATTCTTTATTATTTTCTGCCTGGCTAACATTTGTGCTATAACTGTTCAGGAGAAGGTGGAGACAGTTTGATTCCTTCAATGCACGAGGCATTTTTGAGCAGTTTGGATCTGAGGAATGGGGCGAGTATCTCATTCGTGAAGCTCATCTTTCACAAAGGTTTAAGTATGATGAGAATGGTTATTATCATTCTTGTGCTTCAATACCTTTTCCTGAAAACATGCAAGTTGACTGATTCCCTTTTTAAAAATAATAAATGAAAGGAATACAATGAACAAGCCTTTTAACTTGTGGCAAAGTATCGATAGTAAAACGTCATGTTGCATGGCTTGCTTTGTTTTGTGTATTTGATAAATTATAGAAGGATTTAAATTCTATGATACTGAACACTTGAGGCCAGGATCATCCAGCTGAGCCATACAGTTCAGGATATTTCATGGAATTCTTTATGCTTAAGCTTCCGGATTATACTTTTCCATAATTTCTTTGCACAAATAGTAGATCATAAATTATATCAAGATTTTCTTGTTTCAGACAATTCCCTCATTGTCAGCCCTTTAGAAGGGTGTTAAGAATTGTTCCAGGGGTCCAAAGAATTTTGAATTTGACAAGCAGGCCCTATTCGTTTGACAGTAACCCGGGGCGATTGAAGCCATTTAATTTAGAAATGCCGAGAGGGTGGGGACTGCCTTGGTTTGGGGCTCCTTTCCTCCTGTTGATAGGGATAGAGATATTCTCCACGTTCGCATCACAGAAACTAGACACATGCATACACACGTGCGCACCTGTATAAACACACGCATTTGCCTATTCGATTGCAATCTATGCTGTGGACCATTGAATCATTGTAAGGTTTCTCTTCATAGCAAAGCTGTTGTTACAAGAAATGGAAGAAATACCAAGTTCGTATATACTCAAGTGGAGAACTCAGGCCAGCTGAAATGCTGAATCATTATGTATGGGAATTAAATTGTCTTTATTGAGTGACTAGGCATTCTTCATTTTCTGGTCCCACAGCCAAGGAAATACGGCAAAATGCTGCATTAGCAGTCACTCTCAAACCAAGAAAGTATGGCATGATCTGTAATGCCACACCAACTTAAAATGTCGGTCCAAGCAAATGCACCTTAAAAATGACTTAAATTCTGATTGCAGCCTATGCTACATTAATGAGTTTTGTTGGCATCACAATTCTACAAAGTAAAGATTTTCGTCCTGGATGAATCATTGAAAGGTCTAGAGCTGGGGCTTTGAGTTGCGTAAAGCGATGTTAACCAAACTTTCGGAAATCATCAGCTCAATTCTGAGATGCAGCTCTTCAACAAACATTTTTGGGTACTGATGTTATTTTCAAATGTAATTGTTTTTGATGCAAAGAAAAATAGGATTCCACACAAAATGAATGGGAAATCTGAACTTCTTGAGATTAGCCGAGTGGGTGGGTAACTTTATGTTTTAAATCTTTCTTTTATTTTTTCTTGGTCTCGAATCATGGGATTTTAACTAACGTTTGGATATTCAATTTTGTTACCAGGCAATGATTTATGAATGACAATAGCTGTAAATTTGATATATTTAAATATAATACAATAATAAAATATAAAAATAATAAGAAAAAAATATGATTTTAAAATTTTAATAAAAATTTATATGAATTTAATAAAAATATAAAAAATATATTTTGTAAATGATATATTTTACATACATTAAATATAATATAAATTCGATGTAAATATATAAATTATGACGTTTGAGGGTAAGAATTATTAACATTTCGTAGAGAATGCTTAGAGCTATTTTTACCCCTGCCCTTTCCCTGCCCAAGGAGGACAAAAAAAATCACAAGAATCCCACCTTTAATGAGAAAAAAGAAAACTCAATCTAGATACTATTAAATTAAACCCCGTCTCCTTTTGGAAAATTTTGGCTAGTAAATAAAAAAATTGCTCAAGATTCCTCCCTATCCATCTCAAATATCTGTATATACAATACAAAATGCTATCTTCTCTTTATGATAACACTAATTAATCTTGTCCACCCATTTTCGAAATGGCACGGCCCCGCGACCTCATTCAATGAACATGGTCGGTGCATTGAGTGGCCCAAAACCAAGTCATGACCTGATCACCGTTCTTTTCTTTGTCATTTATCAAACTCTCAAACACGCACAAACTAACGGGAGAGGTGATGGGTCACAATTCACATGGGAAGAATCATTGATGAGCTTCCCGACATTTCTATTAAAGCATGTTAATGATAGCTATGACAGAAGCGAAAACAACCTGATTGGATATGCATGGGTCTTTGGATATGCTTCTACACTTCCCTTATTTCCCTTTACATGATTTTTATTCCCTACATGAAAAAAAATACACTTACTCTGTAATAACACAAAACGTTATGAATCTCGTGATCCCGTTTAATATTTTTTTTTCTTGATATCGTAATATAAAAGTAAAAAAAAAAGAAAAATTTAAGTTTAAATTCAAGATTTACTAGATTTTATTGTATAAATTAATTAAATTAAATTATATATTAATAAATTTGTTTAATATAATTTAAATTATATTTTATGTATAAAATAATAAATATAATAAAAAATAATTATTTTATATATTTAATTTGTATATACAAAATAAGCTTATAAATAAAATTAATTATTCTTTTAATATAGAATAATTTAATTATCTTAAAATGAAAAACTTTAATTTTAATTCATGAGATTAATAATACATCTCATTATATTATAATTTTAAAAATTATATCAATAATTTAAATTATATAAATTTTAAATAAAAATAATTTTAATTAATAAATAAATTATTCTACTTTAATTTTTATATATATCAAATATAAAATAAAATAATATTATTTATAATATTATTTTATTTTATCTTATCATAATTTAATATACTAAAATATATCCGTAAGACATTATTTCTCTATGTTTTCTCGTACTATTTATATGTGACCAACAAAAAGACGTTTGGGCTTCATCTGGAACATTCTCTCAAGCCTAGTCTTCTTCATCACCCTCCATCTTCAAAGAGCAAGCTCTCTTTTCTTCCAAAGATGGCTGGAATCGCCTTTGGCCGCTTCGATGACTCCTTCAGTTTAGGCTCTCTGAAGGCATATCTTGCTGAGTTTATCTCAACCTTGCTCTTTGTTTTTGCTGGCGTTGGCTCTGCCATAGCTTATAGTTAGTTCCCTTCAAGCACTCTCTTTAAGTCTTAAAAGGCTGCTGCAGAGTTGTGAATGCAACTAAGCATTATAGTAACTTAGGCTGCTATTTGGAAAGACATATAAAATATAAACAAGTCGTTTATAATTTGCTATGACAAAAACAGAAGCATGTGTAATATTATTATATAGGGCAAATAGTTCTTGCTGGCATGACCTTTTTTCTTTCGTTTCATTTTTTGTGCAGACAAGTTGACATCAGATGCGGCCCTTGATCCTGATGGGCTAGTAGCAATTGCTATTTGCCATGGTTTTGCTCTCTTTGTTGCTGTTGCCATTGGTGCCAACATCTCCGGCGGCCATGTCAACCCAGCAGTCACCTTTGGGTTGGCTCTGGGTGGTCAGATCACCATCCTCACTGGCATCTTTTACTGGATTGCCCAACTTCTTGGATCCATTGTTGCTTGCTTCTTGCTCAAGGCTGTCACTGGAGGCTTGGTATACTTAAATTGAATATACAAGCACAAATATTATTTCGTACATAAATTTATTTGCCTTGTTTAATTAGAAAATTAATCTGTAATTGGCCATTGAAATTTTTGTTTCGACTATCTAGGAAACTGCATACGTAATTTTTTTAGTTTTTACTTCTTTTTGCAGAGAATTCCCACCCACAGTGTTGCAGCTGGAGTTGGAGCTATTCAAGGAGTAGTGATGGAGATCATCATCACATTTGCTTTGGTTTACACTGTCTATGCAACCGCAGCTGACCCTAAGAAGGGTTCACTTGGCACCATTGCACCCATTGCCATTGGTTTCATTGTTGGAGCCAACATCTTGGCTGCTGGACCATTCTCTGGTGGATCCATGAACCCAGCCCGGTCCTTCGGGCCAGCTGTCGCCAGTGGAGACTTCCACGACAACTGGATCTACTGGGTTGGCCCACTAATTGGTGGTGGCCTGGCTGGACTTATCTATGGAAATGTGTTCATGCAATCTGAACATGCACCGTTATCCAGTGACTTCTAAGCTTAGTTCAATTGCTCTGCTCTTTCAATCCATTGGTCAGTGCAATAAAAGAAGGGATAGCTGTTTTTGCTCCTTTCTTTTTAGCTTCATTTTCCTTTCTTTTTTTTTTTTTTTGGTTATTGTTGTAAAGTTTGTTGTTGTCAATCGTTGCTTTGTGGAAATGGATGAGGTTGGTGATGCGCAGCCACTTTCTTTTAAAAATTTGTCGTCTGCTTTACTGTGCTTATTTTATGATCCTATGCATGCAATAATTGAACCAATGTATACTAACTGTGGGCCTCAAAGGAATATCGAGTTTAACATATATATAAAATATAAAAATTATTATGATAAAAATTTATCAACATGTATAACATAAAATATATTTTTTTCCAAGCTTCAATTTAAAATTGTCAAGATCTAGTGTCACCCTAAACCACAAAAGAAAAAAAAAAGAAAAGGAAAAAACAGTGTCACCAAACACTATTATAGACAAATTAATTAGTAATAAGATTCCCTATTGCAATATCAACCAGGAAAGTTTAGAGACAATGCTTTTGGTTCAATATTCTTCAAGTAATTTTTGTTAGAAAAATAAATAAGAAATAGAAATAATAAAAAAAGTTTAGGTTTGAAATATGAAGAACGCTTTATTAAAGGAAATTATATTTATAGGATATAATAAAACTTTAAAATTCTTCAAATCAGAAGTAATGAAAATGATTATACTAAAATATTTATTTATAATGAATGAATAAACAAAAACTTCTATTTAAATAGTTATGAGTTTTTGTATAATCATAATTTTTATGAATAATAATCTATTTATATTTAAATAGTTATGATCATTTGTCATCTAATAATTATTTCTATTAAAATATAATTACTTAAAATATAAATAAAATTAATATAAAAATTAATTTTATTCATCAATAATTAAATATTTCTATCAAATATGGGATGTACCACATTCTAAACAATTAACAATCTCCCATTAGTTTGAAATATTGGTGCTTAATTTTTAATCTTTTACATAAATAAATATTATAAATACAAAAGGTATTTCTTGAATTAAACCTTTAATTAGCATATATATCTTAAAATTTTAACGAAATTGATAGTGTTTGCAGATTAAAGCTCAACTCTTAATGTTGGAATTGAAATTATAACACATGTAATATTTATTTATTTATTTATTAAATGTTTATAACTGCATTAATACTATTATGATAATGTGCTTATCCTATTCATAAATATTTACAAGAGAGCTCTTAATTTTTTTTATTGAAGTGGCACTACTTTTATATTTATATAGGTAAAGTTTTCATTATGTCTCTATTACTCTAGATATTTAAATAGTAAACTTCATTAAAAGTACAAAAACTTATGCTCCCTATGTAATGAATCACATTAGTTTTTAAAATTTTGAATGGATTTTACTAGTACTTAACAGATACATAATAATAACTTGTTTTTACCTATTAAACTTCATAATTAGAGTTACTAATTTAAAATTGGGTTCTCATTATTGATGTCTAATAGTAAAGGTTTAAATCCATTCTACTTATAGTACTACTAACTAAATATCTTAAAATTTGATTTTCTTTTATGATAATTACCTCCATTTGAGATTGAATCTTTAATATATTTACTTCATAGGCTAATATGTCCAAATTTTTTATTTTGCATATTATTTATATGCTCTAGATATTGTTGTCTCATTCTTATAATTTCAAAAAATAGTTGGTATTAGTTGTGATCACAACTTTATACTCATAAATTTCAACCATTCTATTTTCATACTTTTATACATCTTTAATACAATCATAATTCTAGTACAATTGGATAAACTCAATGAATAAACCAAGTCATTTTAGTCATTTTAAGATTTTTAAGGACCTTTTTATGATTTTACTTTAATAAGTGTATTAAATTTAATTAACTTGTATAATTTGCTTGTAAAATTATACTTAAAATCTTGTAACACTATGATAGTGAGTTTTATTTCTTTTGATTCTTATTGCTTTCACCATGTGCAAATATACATTCTTTTATTGAAGAATATCCCATTCAATTATCAAATATCATATATATTTAATCAAGTTACCATTTCATTTATCTTTTCACTAATAATTTTTCTTTTTTTTTAGTAAAAGGCCAAATTTTTATATCTTAAATTTTTTTTTTCATAAAAGTTCTAAAACCTTTATTTAAATTCAATATGAGAGTATACATCAATAAGAATGATGTCAAATATATTCACTCTCAAATTTTTTTTTTAATTTTAGCAAACTTATGCTTTTTGAAGTCTCTTTTTGAGACTTTCATACCAAATCATGAAAACTTATGAATTTTATTTTATCATGAACATTATTAACCATAATTTTATCATTAGCAAAATCATGTCCATCACCCAAACGAGTCAAATAGCATTTATCTTGCTATTTAATTTTTTTTTTTTAATTTACAAAATCTTTGAATCACTCATGGCTTTCAAAGTGAATATAATTTTATACTTTCACTTTATCTCAAAACTTTTAATAAAATTATAAGATGTAAATCCTTCATACAAGTCATGATTATTATCAAATAACATTAAATAAATATCATTTTTTATGCAAAGACAATTGAGAAAAATTATTTGTATATTATATAGAAATAAATAATTTTCAAACTTATCAAAAGCACTATTCATTTAAGAGTCCTACCTCTTTCTCCATGGATATAGCTCATTTAGTGATCAATTTCAAGGATTAAGGTTATTGAAAGCCATCATCATTATTAAGTCCATATGTTAATGGCGCGTATATAAGCTCTCATCGATACCCTTACCATGAAATTATAAAAACTCGTGTACCACAGAGACTTATACACTTTTGTTTATGTTATGCATATAGATGGCATATATGCTAATAATAAGATAATTTGAGTTTCCATTCAAATAGTCATTCATTTTCATTTTCTTAATGTATGGCAAACCATCTGAAACTCCGATCTTAGGAAGCTTGCTGTGAATCTCATTCCTTCCCTAGGATTCACTTCTTCATGGTTGGTTTTGCACCTCTTGCCTCTCGTGGATCCCAGCAGTACAGAGCCTTAACCGTGCCTGAGCTCACTCAGCAAATGTGGGAAGCCAAGAACATGATGTGTGCAGCTGATCCGCGCCATGGAAGGTACCTTACAGCCTTAGCTATGTTCAGAAGCAAAATGAGCACAAAGGAGGTGGATGAGCAGATGCTCAATGTCCAGAACAAGAATTCATCCTACTTTATGTCAAATCGACTCTGTGATATCCGACTAAATGGCTTGAGAATGGCAGCAAACATTCATTGGGAACTCGATTTCAATTCAAGAAATGTTTAGGCGTGTGAGCGAGCAGTCCATAGCTAAGTTTAGGAGAAAGGCTTTCTTGCATTGGTACAAAGGTGAAGGTATGGATGAGATGGAATTCATCGAGGCTGAAAGCAACACGAACGATCTGGTGTCAGAGTATCAGCAGTACCAGGATGCAACTGCCGATGAGGAAGAATACGAGGAGGAAGAGGAGTATCAAGAATGAATTTTATGATATTATTAGCGGATGTAAAACAATGCAAGAAGAAGTACAAATTGCCAGTCTCTGGCAACAGAAATGATTAATCTGGATTGCCGTATGCCAATATGAATGTTAATTAAATGAATTGATAATTCCAGTTCAAATTAAAAAAAAAAAAACATATATATATATATATATGTGGCAAACCATGCATATGTTCTCCATGTCCAATTCTAGGCTCATGGATGTTTCAATTCATTACCATATATGCAAAATTTCACAAAATATGTATTCAAGCCATGAAATAAACCATGGAACACATGAATTTAACATCATCGAGTGATTTTTGTTCATTCATTAAATTAAAAGACTTGAAAAACTCAATATTCACTTTTAGCTGATATACATATACATATAAAAATGGATATATACTTTATATTCTTGACATTGCCAAGGTTCTCATGGCACCACAATTGAACATGACCCTTTTATACGTATTTCTATTATAATTTCATAGTATCTCCCTTAGAGATCTCTTACAAATGGTATACGCATGGTGGATATATTAAATATAAGTGCATTTTACTTTGGATATATACATGGTCATAATCATTATATTAATAATGCAAACACTTATTACCCAAACTATAAAGTATATAATTATACTCTAAATAAATCTCATATGGGCAAAATATTAAAATAGTAAATATATATTTTTATTTCTCTAGCTTTTACCTACTAAAACATTATCTCGTGGTTTTAATAAATTTAATCATATTTTCGTAATTCTGTTATTAACAATTACCAGAGAAAACATAAAGTCACACTTACTCAAGAACTAAAATTTCAGACATGCTTTTTGAACAAATAATAAATGCATGTTATTAGCAAATTGTATTTATAATAAGTATAAAACTTAATTAATCAAATTCTCCACTATGTAAATATTTCATTTAGCTCAAAGCATGTTAATATAAGCATGACTAAACAATATAAGCATAAAAAATAAAATAAGAAATAAGCATTTAATTAATATATGTATTAATTAACCACAATAATTAAAAGTAAATTTATTGAGACACTCCATTTCTAGCCCGCTTCTGTTAACTTCTATCGTGAATAAAAATCCCAATCATTGATCTCAATTTCCTCAAAACCCATTTTTTCCCCAAATTCTCATTAACATTGAACAAAAAAGATCATTTATTATATTTAAATCCATTTTGTTTATAATATATACAGAGCCCATTCCGGCTTATGGCTATTCTAATCCAATCTCAATGAATCACATTATAAGTTCATGCATAAACCTGGTTTTGGCTTATTATCCAATCTGAAAGCAATGATGATTTTCATGCATATATAATTATGTTTTCATGAAAATATGTATCAATTTTAACTCTTTCTTTTTGTGTTTACACTATTCCCCATTGTGACATTTATATACATTAGGTTTTCAATTTATTAAACTCAATTGATAGGCCAATTTCAATCCATATGCAAAAAATTATGGCATTGTTCCCAATAATTAGAAATAGCATTTCGACCATATACCCAAATATATATATATATATATATATATCTACTGCATTTGGTCAATTTTCTTGCCACCGATAGTTCATAAAATAAATTGTATATTAATTTTGAATAAAAATTAAAGAAAAACCTATTTGACATTGTGATAGAGAATTATTTCTCTTTGTCCA